ACAGGAGTAACCTCAGAGCTCCTGGGTCCTGACTCAACACCAGAAGCAGACAGCCATATGCATTCTTGACAAGTAGGTCACTATGACCAGCCCACATTCTGGGACCTAAGGTCTACTGGAAAAGACTTGGGGAAAACCCAGTGTTGCAGTCAGACTGGAGTCTGGTTGGTTGGTGTCTGCAGCACTGGAGCTGGAAAGTGGGTTTCACGGCACCACTGGGTATTATCACTGGATTCAGATGGCAGCTTAGGAGGGGCTACAGCCTGGAAGAGCAAGAAGATACAGCCTCGTTGTGTACTTCTTGAGCCCATCTGTCTGCTATGCGATGCTCTGTTGGGTGTTCTGGTGGGACACCATCCTGCAACTTACATTTTCTTATTCCCATTTGATAAACGTGGGAACTGAATTGAGAGTCTAGCAGTAAACCACTCTAAGTCAGGGCCTCTTAAACTTTTCACACCCATATATGCAATGAATCAATGTAATTTTTAACGTTTGTAATAGGGAGATAAGCTCCCTGAAGCTTTCTTAAAAATAGGAGGACTAATCTGAATTCTGGAGCCATACTGGAGGGGGCCAGTAAGAGAATATGTGAAGACCCATTGGCACACTGGTTCTCAAACCTCCCTAATGCAGTGCCCCTTTAATATACAGTTCCTTGTGCTGTGGTGACCCCCAACCATAAAATGATTTCATTGCAACTCCATAACTGTAATTTTGCTACTGTTTTAAATTGTAATATAAATATCTGACATGCAGGATATCTGATATGGGACCCCACTCAGAGGTGTTGAGACCCACAGATTGTGAACCGTTGCTTTAACGTGTGTCTGGAATAGAGCAAATATCATAATCACTATTTTGCTGGGGTTTTTTAGCATTATTCTAGAAGAAAGTCCATTAGACTCTCTTGCAGATTCATTTTATTAATAACTTTCAAATCTCAATTGGGCGTGGTGGCACACGCTTGTGATCTCCAAACTGGAAGGTAAGTAGAGGCAGGAAGATCAAAAAAGTTCATGGTCATTTACAGCTATACAGCAAGTTTGATGCCAGCCCAGGCTATGTGAGAGCTTGTCTCCCACAAAACAGCTGACACCCCATGGGAGCAGCTGGCAGGGCACCCCTTTATCTTCCAGCCAGATATATGTCACTGTTTATTTAGGACAAGTAGGGGAAAAGTTTTCCATTGTCTCCCTTAGGGACAAGGAAAGCCACTCTGCCTCTCCACCCTTTGTCCCCCTCATGTCAAGGTGGCCTTTGACTCTCATAGCAGCATTCCAGTTACAACAGAAAGGACACAGGAGAAAGCTGGGGCCAAAGTCTTGCCTGCTGGCTCTAGAGAAGACCCCAGCTTCTGTCCCTGTGCAGTCTGAATTCTCTGACTTCTGGGTTCTAGGCCCTTATGTTTTCCTCACCAACCCTATCAGAGCTGGGAAATGAATCCCCCAAGAATGTGTTTACTGCTCTGCTCCCCAGTGTGCTTGAAGAAGAGGCCTCTACATTGCCTCCAAGGGTTCAGATCTGCAGAGCAAGCAAGGCCAGACTATCTGGGAATGGCCCCTCGAGCCAGGACCAGCTGTGCCCGACTCCCAGGTGAGACCTGAGGGACCAAATCCCCACCACCTCAACAGAGCCTTTATTAATGGTGATTTCATCATGGCCCCAGCAAAGTTGGCTGAGACCATGAGGAAACCGAATTGATAGACAAGAAGAGTATTGGGGACTTGGAAAAGTCTATGGAGGATGAGTGATACAGGGTCTGGAAAGTGAGAGGCCACAACTGGCTGTTCTGAGCAAAGCTTCTTTCTTTTTCTGAGAAGATTTCTTTTATTATTTATGTAATCATGATGTGTGGGTAATCTAGAGGGCAAGCCGAGTGTGTCGGATGGTGAAGAGCCTGATGTAGGTGCTAGGAACAGAACTCAGGTCCTCTGCAAGAGCAGTAGTGAGCATGGGGTCATCTGTCCAGTCCCGAGCAAACTTTCACAGGTACAGAAGGTGTGTCAGCTGTCGGTTCCAGAATTTTCACCACAACATTGTTTGCAACAGTCAACAATCGAAAATAACATCAAGGCCCAAGAACAGGAGACAGATAAAGAAATGATGGTTCAGTCATGCACAAGCGAAAAGCTGGTGCCTCAAAGGTTGTTTGGGCTTTACAGGTATGCTTGGTTACTTGCCAGCATTGAGAAGATTTCTGGAAAAAAAAAAAAAAAAAGGGCAGATCTTGAACATCAGGAACTCTGGGTATTCTGCTTTCCTATTGGCATAACTTCAACAACACGTAGAAGCTGCTGCCTCCAGGTGAGGAAGCTGTCCCAGGCCACTAAGTCCTGTGCCTCGACATGGTCACTCACTCACCATTTCCTGTTCAGTCTCTATCAACGCTGGCTGCAGAGCTGTGTGTGCTGTCCTGATATCTGGAACATTCTCCCCACCCTTCCCCTAGCCCTCTGCCCCATAAGTTCTTCTGACCCCTTAGGAGTTAGCATTAACATCACCCATTTACGGAGGGTTTTCTGACTGTCCCATATTGAGTAAGCCATCCTGCTTCCTGTTCTCATTGTATCCTTGTAAAACTCTCCATTAGTGTCACTTTAAAAGGTATTTGTAACCAGGGTGGTGGGGGCAAACACCTTTAATCCCAGCACTCAGGAGGCAGAGGCAGAAGATCTCTGTGAGTTCAAGGCCAGCCTGGTCTACAGCTCCAGTTCTAGGACAGTCAGGGCTCCTTGAGAAACTGTGTCTTAAAAAAAAAAAGTATTTGTGACAACTCTCCCTTGTTGAGGCATTCCACATAATGAAGGCAGACAAATGAGGAAAATCCAAAGTCACTATCAGAACTAGATCTCCAGGACCAGTGCCATCCATGGACATCAAATTTGGTAGCTGAAAAGTTTGTGAAACAATAGTGTTCACATAGTTTTAAAATCTTCCCTGGCTAGAGAGACAACTCAGTGGGTAAAGGAGCTTGCTGCACAAGCATGAAGACCGGAGTTCAGATCCCAGCACTGACGAAAAGGTAGGCTATGACCTCAGAGCTGTGGAGGGTAAAGCCATCTCTGGGTCTCACTAGCCACCAGCCTAGTTCTAGGTTCAGTGAGAGACCCTGACTCAAGGGACAATGTGGAGAGTGACAGAGCAGGATACTCAGCGTCTCCCTCTGGATTCCACCTTCACAAAGATGCACATGCCTGTGCTCGGGGGCATATTCTCCCAGCTTTAAAAGACAGTCTCTCACAATGTTTCTCTGGCTGGCTTAGAACTCACTATGTTGACCAGGCTGGCCTTGAACTCACAGAGAACTCACACTTGCCTTTGCCTCCCAAGTGCTGGCATTAAATGTGCTTCTACCAAGCTTAACCTCAAGACAATTTTTGTATTGATTACAAAGGGAGAAAATTGTGACTTTAGAGTGGAGAAACCTTAAGCCAAGTGACACCCTGCAGGCTAAGAAACAACATGCATCTACATAAGAGAAAAGATCACACACATGCAAATTATGGCAAGCAAGGAAAGACTGAGGAAGTGCACAGGCTGGAGGAGACTAAGGAGACATGACAACCAAGTAGAACCTGAGTCACAGAATCTGATGCTGGAACACAAAGAGTTAGCGGGCAGACAGCACTGCACTGAAGGAAAAGCTGTAGTTGGTTTTTGTTTTAAACTCTGATCTTTGGGAGCCCACCACTCAGCTCCCAAATAAACACACAGAGACTTATTCTTACTTATGAATGCCTGGTTTATTTCTAGCCAGTTTTTCTAACTTAAATTAGCCCATTTCTCTTCTTTTACATTTTACCTCTGGGCTTTTTAGAAGACCTTTCTCTATTCTATATATCTTTCTTTCCTTCTACTCTGTGGCTGGTTGAGTGGCTGGGTAGCTGGTCCCCAGTGTCCTCCTCTCCTCTTTTTCTTAATCCTTGATCTCCTTCTCCCCCACCCCCATTAGACATTAAGCAAATGTCTAATGACATTAAAAAAATGTCCTCCTATTTTTTCTCTCTGCCTGGAAGGCCCACTATTTCTCACTCCTTGCCTAGCTATTGGCCATTCAGCTCTTTAATAGACTAGTCAGGTGTTTTAGACAGGCAAAGTAACAGATCTTTGTAGAGTTAAGCAAATGCAACATACAAGAATGCAACGCATCTTTGCATCATAAAACAAACATTCCACAGCACAAATGAATGTAACACATCTTGAGCTAATATCCCACAACATAGGGCAGAGTTGTCAGTGTCAGTGTTTGCGGGGGAGTAATGGATGTGGGATGGTGATCTCAGAAGATCTGAGGGAGGGCTATGTGAGGATTCTCTTCATTTTTACAATCCAAAATTATCTCAAAACTTTGGAGAGTGAAAAGCTGTTGGTGTGTGTAAGGATTTGCTTAATGTCTAATGTTGTTGGCCAGGCCATCAGTTTCACAGTCTGAGGCCACAAACACTGTCTTTTCATTGTTATTTCCTGGCATGATATATTCAATAAATAAGTGCTGATAAACAAGATTTAGTTACAGACGTGGAAAAACTGTCTGTGACATATTAAGTGGCAAAAATGGTACACATGGGGCTAGGGATGTCGCTCAGTAGGCAGAGTGCTTGCCTAGCGTGCATTAAGTCCTGGGCTCATTCTCCAGTACTGACTAAACCATCAGAAGATGGAGGCAGGAGGCTCAAGATCATCCTCAGCTACACATCCAGTTCAAGGCTAGTCTGGATTTCATAAGATGCTGTATAAAACAAGGAAAATTTAAACAAACAACAAAAAAAATAAGACACAAAATAACTCACATAAGCTGGCATAAGGATACACTGACTATGCAGTCAAGGATGACCTTTGAACTTTAGATCCTCAGGTCTCTACCTCCTGAATACTGGGATTAGAGGCACATAGCACCACACTGAGTTTATGCGGTGCTGGTCACAGAGCCCAGGGCTCTCTGCATGCTAGGCACAATACTCCACAAACTTAGCTGCATTGCCAGCTCAGACCTTATCTGAATTCGATATCTTCAAAGTTTATTTCCAAATAAGTTAACATTCACAGGTAAAAGGGTTTAGGTCTTAAATATCTGTTTTTAGAAGTAATCCAGTCTACTACCAGTAGGAACTGCCCTGTGCCCATTTTCTGTTGCTGCCTGGCATGACATTCTAAAGTAATGGGGGGCGGGGCTGATTAAAGTAACATTGTATTTACTCCCAATTCCATGACCCCACCTTTAGGGTTGGGCTCAGCTGGAAGGTTCTGCTGATTTCTCCTGGGGTCATTAGTACCACTGTGCTTTTTGGTGGCTATCCTGAGTCTAAAAGGCCCAAGATGGCCTCATTCTTACATGTAACTTTTGGCACTGGCTGTAGTCAGTCATGTGAGCTTTGCCTGTCATGGCGCCTGCGCTTCACAGCCTCTCGGGTTCACGTGATAGATCAGACGAGGTCTGTGCACATGCAGCTTGAAAGAGGCAGCTTGAAAGAGGATCAAAGCAAAAGCTGCCATGCCCGCTGATGACCGCACTGCTGTATTTTTATGGTTTGTGCAAGTCAAGGCAAGCTCAGATTCCAGAGACTCCACACTTCCAAAGGGGCCTGCACCTAACGAGTGGAAGTGCTGAAGCCATCTTTGCAAATCATCTCCATAGACCTCAGGTTCTGGAAAGGAAAGGCAAACAGATCCAGTCTTGCTCATAGGAACTCAGCGTAGCAGCTGACCAGGGTCCTGTGGGGAAAGCGCCAGGAGTTAGCTCAAAGGTGCAAAAGAAAATGAGGCAGAGAGCTAGTGGGAGGTAAAGTGGAGTTGCCTACCTGCCCTCCAAGTCCCAGGTCAAAGGCTGTCTGTCTGCATCTAGATCACAACTCCCATGCCCTAGGTCCTTGTAGCCCCAGTCACAGACTAAACTGATCATCTATAGGATCACAATTAAACTGTCAAGTAAGGATGGCACAATCTCAAACAGCCTGGATTCATACTCAATGCTCACTGAGGCAAGATATTTTATGACAAGGGTTGCTAGAGAAATGAGTCTGGAGTTGATCCTTGGCAGAGTCCTCTCTCGCTCCCTCTCTCCCTGCCAGGCAAGCACTTGCCCCTTTCCCCAGTGATTGCTCAGGAGAGGCCTGGCAGCCCACGCTGAAGTGGGAGGAAAACCCCAAGGGTGCACATCTGATGTCCTAAGAGGTGAAGTCCTGGCTGCATTATTTGATGTGTGACTTTGAGCCTGTTTCCTCAGCTGTGAAATGTGGGCTCCTGGAGCTTTTGTAACAACTGAGAATGCTTTGCCAACGTTGCAACCATCTGTGCAGACCACACAGCCCTGGCTCATTCATTCCTTCAGGCATGCAATGGGCAACTTTGCTCCTAGGACTTTTCTTCTCCTTTTCATCGTCTGCCACTCGCCTCCAGCCTGAGCTCTGAATGTGAACTCCATCTTCTTAATTCTCCTCCTCACTGCGGATCTTAGGTTTCTCCCTGAGATTTAAAAGAGAAAGTTTTATCGTATTAAAGATGTATTTTAATTTTTATTGTTTGAGATTTATCTCATTTTTAAAATTAGAGACACATGTAAATGATAGAGGGGTGTACACACGTGAGAGCAGGGTGCCACTGGCTCATCAATAAATGCACAGAGACTTAATATTAACTATAAATGCTCGTGTGATAGCTTAGACTTGTTTTTAGTGAGCTCATATAACTTAAATGAACCTATTTCTTATCTACCCTCTGCCACATGGCAGTACTTTCTTTCAACCCGGCATGTTTATCTTGCTTCTCTCTTAGGTCTCTCAAGACTCCTCCCTTCTTCCCAGTGTCTTCTGTGTCTGGCTGTCCTACCTATATCGCCTGCCTAGTTGCCAGCCAGTCAGTTTTTTTTTTTATTTTTATTTATTTTATTTATTTTTTAATTTGTTTTTGTTTTTTGAGACGGGGTTTCTCTGTGGCTTTGGAGGCTGTCTTGGAACTAGCTCTTGTAGACCAGACTGGTCTCTAACTCACAGAGATCTACCTGCCTCTGCCTCTCGAGTGCTGGGACTAAAGGCATGTGCCACCACCACCAGGCCAATTCATTTATTAAACCAATCAGAATGTTTCTTGGCAAAGACACATCTTTACAGTGTACAAGAAGATTATTCTGTAACTGTGTTGGATTCCCTAGAGCTGGATTTAGAATCCTTTGTGAGCTGCCTCATGCGGATGCTGAGAACTGAACTCTGGTTTACCCTGGAGCCATCTCTCCAACTGGTTTTGTTTTTTCCTTCCTTCCTTCCATTTTTCCTTCCTTCCTTCCTTCCTTCCTTCCTTCCTTCCTTCCTCCCTTCCTTCCTTCCTTCATTCCTTTCTTCCTCCCCCCTCCCTTCCTTCCTCATTCCCCTAGGATGGGGATTGCTCCCAAGGCCTCATGCAAGCACTCTACCACTGACCCAACCACTGACCCACATCCTTAGCTCCTCTCCCGAGATTTCTCAATGTGAGTTTGTCAAGAATCAGTATTTTAGAACCAGAAATATACAAATGATTTTGCCCCCCCACCCCACCCCCGCTGGGAGGAAGTAGAACAGAGACGGAAAAGCAAGTGAATCCTGAGGCTGGGTTAGGCCAGCTCCCAGCTGTCCCTGAAGACTTTTTCCAAAGAAACTTCCTTTTAGCATAAACTTGTAACAAAAGGAATTTTCACTAAGACAGTTAGTTTGTCCAATGTTTATTGAGCAATTCAACCTAGCTAGCCCTGGAGACACAGCAGAGACACTCTGAGCCATCCTGTCCCCTGTCTCCACCCCTCTCATCCCACCCCCAGAACAGTCATGAAGTGTGAAAGGCTGCCACTCACTGCTGGAGTTCAGAGAAAGTGTTCTGCTTAACTTAGGGGCCTCTGCAAAGGCCGTGTGGAGGGTGTGCCTGCCCTGAGCCTTAAGTCTGTGAATGAGTCTCCCTGGTGATGGTGAAGTTCAAAGTGAGAAGTCTCACAAGAAACTGGAAATACTTTGATTTTATTTTCATGTATTTCTTTTTAAAATCAGGGTCTTGTGCAGCCCAGGGTAGCTCCCAATTCTCTATGTAGCTAAGGATGACCTTCAGTCTTTGATCTTGCTCTGACTCCCACATGTACCTCTACAGCCATTTTGTGGGATTCGAAGGATCAATCCCAGGGCTGTATGCATGATAGGCAGGCACTGTACAAACATAGCTACTCAGTCCAGAGACTAGAACAGTTCAGGAAAGCTTGGTAGTGCGCGCGTGCGTGCGTGCGTGCGTGCGTGCGTGCGTGCGTGCGTGCGTGTGTGTGCTCAAGCGTGTGCGCGTGTGTGCGCGCTGTAAATGGCTACACATGGCCCTACTGGGAACTGAGGTGTCCCTATGGGCTTGGACTCAGGAGGGGAAGAGGCAGGGGCATTTTTTCTCCCCCAAAACAGGGTTTCTCTGTATTGCTTTGGAGGCTGCCCTGGAACTCACTCTGTAGACCAGGCTGGCTTTGAACTCACAGAGATCCTCCTGCCTCTGCCTCCCAAGTGCTGGGAATAAAGGCGTGCGCCACCAACGCCCGGCTGAGGCAGGGGCATTTCATGTGTTTTTTTGTTTTTGTTGTGTTTTGTTTTGTTTTGTTTTTTCCCAGATGATTTTCCTTCTGCCCTTATGAAGACGGCTCCTTACACGGGCTTTGGTGGAGGTGATGGGGCAGCACCAGGAGTCTAAATAGTGGTGGGTGTTCAGTCCTTCAGAGCTTCACCGGATCGATTCTGAGCACATACCTCATGCGGTGATGCAGCTTGACACAGAGCTTAGGAAGCACATAAGCATCAAAGACACTTGCTTTAGTAATGTCCCTGATTGCAGTGGCCTCTACAACATTCTGGATGACAAACCTCTTAATGACCTTGTCCTTGAGCATACACCAGTCAGTAGCGGTTTGTACTACTTTGCTACACAAGGCTGAGACCCTTTTTGACCTGACCAGTTTTTTTTTTTTTTTTTTTTTTTTTTTTTTTTTTTTGGTTATCGTTTAGTCAAAACCTGAAACGTTTTGTGGGGTTTTTGTTGTTGTTGTTTTCCTTTATATGTATGGATGTTTTGCCTGCAGGTATGTCTGCATACCATATGCATGCCTGGTGCCTTTGGAAGCCAGAAGAAATCTTTGGATCTCTGGAACTAGAGTTACAGATGGTTGTAAGATGCCAGGTGCAAGCTGGGAATTGAATCAGCAAGGGCAGTGAGTGAAGGGACTGGTAGGTATGTGCAACTATGAGGGCAGGTTATCGGAGACTCTAGAACAAGGCATTGGAGGCCTTGGAGCTGTAGTTACAGATGACTGTGAACCGCTCGATGTGGGTGCTGGGCACCAAACCCAGGTCCTCTGCAAGATCAGTACATGCTCTTAACTGCTAAGATATCTAACTAACTCCCAGGGCCAGCCTCTTGGACTAGGCTTCCAATTGGCCGCAGTGGACAATTGCTGAGCTGAGTACAGAGAGTGAAGCTCACCTGTATACTCTATACTTCAGAACAATCCCATGGGGACTCCAGCAGGTGAAAATGGAACTCAGAGCCAGGCGGTGGTGGTGCACGCCTTTAGTCCTAGCACTTAGGAGGCAGAGGCAGGCGCATCTCTGTGATTTCCAGACCAACCAGTACAAGAGCTACTTCCAGCCTCCAAAGCCACAGAGAAACCCTGTCAAAAAAAAAAAAAAAAAAATATAGTTCCTGTGGGAAGGAGACAGAGAGTTTAGAGGGGATGACCTTCATGGAGGGCTCGCAGCTGTCTATCTAGGTACTAAGGGGCAGCCTCCACATACGGGCTCAGAGACTTTGTTTCCTCGAGCAGTTCCCAAGTGGCTGACACCAGGCCAGGGACTTAATGAACCCAGCAGAAGGACCTCTCATCTAAAGTGGTCAAAGGCAATGGTGATTAGAAGGAGGCATGAGAGCAGGTGCTGAGCTCAATACGAACGGACTACCTGGACACTCGTACTCAGAGGTATTGTCTGCCAAAGACCAAGGACATCACAAATGTCATCGTGAGGCAGTGTGGACAGGTGAAGGGTGAAGGGCAAATAGCCAGAAAGCCTGCAAGGGCTCAGCTCCATCTTCTTGGACATATAGCTCTGTTTGCCGATCCAACCCTCAGAGAGCCTGCTCCTGCAATAACAGATAGTATGGTGATGGGGGAGGTCCTTCTGTGTATGTTTATCTTATTGGTTGTTGAATGAAGCACTGTTGGCCAATAGGGAAGCAAGATAGGTGGGACTAGGAGTCGAGGAGGATTCTGGGAAATGTAGTAAAGAGAAGTCTTGTGATCCAGGCAGGAAGTGACGTAACAGGCAGACTCAGAATATAAGCAGGGACAAGTAGGAAAAAGCTCTCTTCCTCCTCTCTTGTCTATGTAGCTGCCATGTGATCCCGGCAAGAGAAGACACCTGCCGCTGGCGTCCGATAAGTTCTTATAAAATATATAGATTAGTAGTTATGGTTGATAATTCAGACTGAGCTAGCAAGTAAGAAATCCTAGTCATTGGCCAGCAACATTGTACTTAATATAAGTCTCTGTGTGTTATTTTGGGTGCCCATGTGGCGGCGGGGCTCGGGTGGCTTGGCAGAAAGAGTTACCCTTACAGTATGGTACTCCAAAATGTTTGTCACCAGACTGTCATCACCCTGAGGACAAGCTCTGGCTTGTTCCTGTAGGAGCCCTAGTTCCAGCCTAGGCCTGGCATGAGGCAGAGACTGGCAGTAGGAGTTACTAACAAGTAGATCACCACTTCAGAGCTTCCCAGAGGGCTAGCAGCAGCAGGGAAGTCCTGGAGACTAGAGTACAGAATTTCAGGAAAACATCAAAGGACACAGCAAGCTCAGACCAGGAGAGCTTGATCTGAGACAAACTTAGAGACATTGGAGGGACAGATTGGGCCAGGAGGCCGAATCAAGTGGTCAGGCCAGAGCTGCAGGGAGGTGGTAGTCTTAGGTAGGAAGAATTCATGGGCAAGGGACTAAGGACAGACTAGGAACCTAGGACCTGTGCAACCATAGAAAAGCTCAGTAGGACCTGGGAAGGGAGCTCAGTTGGTTTGAGGCCCAGAGTTTGATCTCCAAAACCCACATTTAAAAAGCCATGTATAGGGCTGGAGAGGTGGCTCAGCACTGGCTGATCATCTAGAGGATCCAGGTCCAATTCCCAGCACCCATACAGAAGCTCACAACTGTCTATAACTCCAGTTCCAGGGAATCTGACACTCTGACACAGACACACAGACAGGCGAGACACCATTGCACATAAAATAAAAATAAATCTTTAAGAAAAGCTGTGTATGGAGCCAAGCACAGCAGTATACACTTTTAATCCCAACTCTCAGGAGGCAGAGCAGGCATATCTCCATAAATTTGCGATATGCCTAGTCTACATAGTAAATTGCAGATTAGCAAGGACTAGAGAGTGAGACCCTGTCTCAGAGAGAGACCAAGACAGAGAGAGTTGTGTGTGG